CCGTCCTCACCGTGCAAACATCGTAAGCGAATGCCTTCAATCTTAGGATATCACCCGTATGGACTGGCCAGCATTCTCACCGGACGTGAATCCAGTAGAGCACGTGTGGGATATGCTTGGACGACGAGTTGCAGCCCGTCAACCTCCTCCTACATGTCTACCGGAACTTCCTAGAGCATTGCTTTTTGAGTAGTGTAATATACCCCAAGATCAGATCGATAATTTGATACTCAGCATGCCTAGGCGTTGTACGGACTGTATTGCATCGTCTGGGAGACCTACAATGTATTAACAATCATACGAACCATGTAATATTGGTTTTTTTGTAAATAGGTTTTTTTTTTTTTTTTTTTTTTTTGTAGTTTGCTCCAGGGAGAAAAAATCGCTAATTTTTTTAATAATATCAAACATATAGCATCTTGTTTTGCTCTATACCTTTTGTTTAATAAATAAGCTTTACAAATAAATCAAATTTGTTTTGCTTCTAACTCTTCCTTTGCCTGATTTTGCATTATCCTTAATTTATGGACATGAGTGTATATAAAGGTTTCTAGTGCCGAGTGCGATAGAGTATTTTCCACAATGAACTTAATTTGCAAGCCGCAACGTGCTTTATGTTAAAACTCTTTCTACACTGCTGGGCCAGAGCTTAAATTGCTCCGGTACTTCTTAGTTTTGGGGATAAATCACAATTCTAGCTGGAGAGCACCGGAGCCCTAAATAAGAAGGCTCTGGCGCTTCTTTTATGTAACTGAACAGCACTTTCAGTAGAAGTTCATCTTGAAAATTTTATTTTGTGCAATAAAATTATATTACAAATTGCTTATTAAATTTTATCTCTTTAAATTGTATTTAATTTTAATTACTTTAATCATTTAACTATTTTAACAACAAAAATTAATTTAATAATCATTTATTAAATAATAATCAACAAATATTAATTATTAATATTAATTAAATAACAATTAGATAATAATTAACTATTTAATTATCAATTTGATAGTCATTTTATTTACTTTTGTGAGTCTTTGATGACGGTCTTCCATAGGGCTCCAGGAATTCTAATTTTAGAAATTAAGCCCTGCTGCTGGCCATTACAATTGCAACACCAGGAAAGAATGATCTGACGAACGTCAAAATCGCATGAAAGGAAGAAGAGGTTGGGATATGTGAATGATTAGTATTTCAGCCTATTTAGACGAGGAGTGAAAAATGACATCTGATGATCTGTATAAAAAGTTCTCTAGTGGATTTCTCATTCGAAAACCACTTTGTGAGGTCGAAGTTTGCTCAGAATATATTTTTATGTCTTGAATGATAAAAAGAAATGCTTACCAACAAGTGTCGCAATGCGATAGAGGCAGGATCGTGGCCTATCGAGAGTATGGATTATCTTTCCGTGACATCGCTCGTAGCACTGGTCAACATCCAACCACTGTCATGTAAATATGGAATCAATGGATTGCTAGCGGTCATATTGAACAGCATGCAGGATCTCAATGCCCTCCTATAACTAATGCCCGAGAGGACAGACATATTGTGAGGTCATTGCAAAACCGTAAAACCACATTACGAACTATTAGTCAAAAAATGGGCATGCTTGCAGAATGCTTAGTAACCGCTCATACAGTGCATCGATATTTGCAGCCCCGTGGACTATCAACACGACGATCATTATTTCGGCTTCCCTTGGCAATACAGCATACTATGACGACAACTCTGGTGTGCCAAATGACAAAACTGGATACAGAAGTGGCACAATGTCGTCTTTTCAAACGACTGTCGGTTCTTTGTGCAGTATTCTGATGTCCATATATGTGTCTGCCCCTCCCCGGGGGGCGGACACAGTGTGCTCTGTGCAGCACAGGCTAGGACCCATTCCTAGGCAGTCTCGGCCACAGGGGTGTAAAATTTATGAACTTGGCGGTTTCTGAAGATCCGTGGGGTGGGGCTCATCTCCACCTTTCACAGGTCATTTAACTTAAGTCCCCGGTAACTTGGGTATCAGTAGCCGAATAGCTCCTGGGCCATCGAGCGTCCAGTCTCTGCTTTGGTATTCTGCGTGAAGCTTGAAGGAAGGGGCTGTCCGCATAGTACTGGCAGGTAGCATTAATCAACGGCCAGTCAAAGCTCCAAGTGATCATGCCCACGCCACCGTAGTCTCTATCCACTGGGACCTTTCGCGGTGGGCTAAGAGGGAGCCTAAAATTGTTGATGCCTCCGGGGATGTGCGACCCTGGAGCTCAGCAGAAGTGTACGACTATCTTCGGGTGGCTTTTGATTGACATTTTGTATCAGTCCCCAAAATGTGATTTATTTCATGGGTTGGGTACAAATATTAGTCAGTATATAAATCTGAAGGCTCCGAGGAGACCACACGTCGCCTGCTTGCATTTGATATCGACATAGGGGCCCTGTACCTATATAGGGGCACTACACGCGCATCTCTAATTCAGATTGACAGTAATTTGAACGCAAATCAGTACATTTCTGACATCTTACGTCCAGTGGTTGTGCCCTATCTTCGAGGCCTGCCAAACGCCATCTTCCAACAAGATAATGCAAGATCACATGTTGCACATTGTGTTCTGACCTTCTTCAATACACTGGGTATTTAATTGCTACCCTGGCCTGCATGGTCTGCAGATCTGTCACCCATTGCAAACATCTGGTCATGGGTTGCTGAAAGAGTTGCCCGCCATGCTTCTCCGGTTGATGAAGTGTGGCATAGACTTTAAGCAGCATGGAATGAGTAGCCCGCCTATTAGGTGCCTCTATAATAAAGAGACCACCACATCTGGCCTTAGTACAGATTAATGGACTTTGTTACAAAACTGTAATTGTTCACAATTTGTCATTGGGGGGAGGACATTAAGAACTAAGTCAAAAATCATAAAACTGAAGTCTACAAAATGTAAACTCCAAATTGAACAAGATACATTTTTGCTAATCGTGGTGAGAAGATATATGCATTTTCGTGCATGTTACATGATCTCAATATTGAATTATATGAAAATTCAAGCTTCACACAATTTCTTTTCCGGTAATTTAAAACCCACTTTAGACACGTTTAGGTTAAATATATTACTTTAAATGTCATCAAAATATAATTTCTTAAAGAAATTTCAAGAGAATTTTGTGCAAAAATAAGATAATAAACTACTTAAGTATTATTTTATCTTTTAGGAACAGATCTTAAAAAAAAGCTTAATTTTTTGGATGGTTTGGTTTATGCGATTACGCAAAGCCTTGCGGGCTACCTAAGGAAAGCGACGCCTTCGTGGAAGGCTTCCTAAGGAAAACTGCCTCGTATAGACATTACACCTGTCTGATTAGCGTGGTGTGCTGAGTGCGACCACGTGCAAACTTAATCTAATTGCATCAGCATTTTTCAATGTTTATTTGCGGTTGGTATTACTTTAGAAAAGCCTAGATGCTTTTATTATTCTATTATTTAGAATTATTTTATGATTTCAGGAATTATTTTTTCGCGTCATCTTGCCAAAATATTTGATTGCAGGTAGATGTAATACAGTCAAAAGTTGTTAATCCGGACTCGTCGGGACTTCGGCAATTCCTGATTATCGATTTTTCCGGTTTATAGATCATCAGTTTAAATCTGGTAAGATGGCATGCAGAAATTATAAAATTAAAAATATGAAACCATAATTTATCAAATAAAGAACAATTATGATCTAAAGGGTATCAAAATTTACAAAAAAAAAAAAAAAAAAAAATCTTAATATTTATTTGTTTACTTTATTAAACATTTCTTTCAATGTAAGTTGAGTTGCTTCGTTTTATGTGATAATACTTTCTCTTTAATTCTATTAAACAGACATAATTTCTTGTTTAGTTACAAAGTTCCGCTGTTCAAGTCCTATAATTGCTGTGTCGAGAATACTGACTAATTTGTCAATCGAAATTTTTTCGTTTTCAATAACCTCTGTGTCACTTTCTTCACTATCGGAAGCAAATTATAATGACAAGGAGTTTAATTTAAATCATATCAAAGACGGAGTACATCGAGATGAAATATTACATTTAGTAAGGAATTATAAGCCAAATAAAATAAAAACATCTGCCCTGAAGATAAGGATAGTGCTGACAGATTAACTTCCAATTCATTGCACGCCACGTCGTTTCCCTCCCCCCGTAGAGCAGCGTGATATTGATAAACATATTTCGGAATGATTAGATAATCAAAGGATATGCCTTTATCCATTTTTTGCAGCAATTCCACTTTCTGTTTAATGGACTTCGAAACATACTTTCGCTTTGTAGATCCTTTACATATTAGTAAACATATATCGGAAATTCTATTTGACAAAATCGAAAGTTCAAGCTTACTTTTATAAAATTGCTCTAAAAGTTTGCAAAAAATAATAAGCCGGATCCAACGCGAAGATTAAGGAACAATGCAATCTGCAACATTAACTGAATTAGAGAATTTTAACTTAGCTTATACCGTCTGTTATACATTAAACGTGCATTTGTAAACGTATTATGCGCATGCGCACACGCATATTCGCAGCCGTAAAGGTCTTACGCACACACGTAAACGCCTATGCGGATGTGTCAACGCGCCGCATGCGCAGAAAGTTTGTAGCTTTGAGGTCCGGAATATGGGTGTCCGAATTAACGACTTTTGACTGTATATGAAACACTTTTACAATACAAGAAATGTTATCAACAGAATAAAAAAACTACTTCTTAATTTGTGAGATAGCTGTAATTCCCTTTCTTTAAAAACAACATCATTAGGAGCAATATGATGAGAAGTGGCACAGTATGCAAAAGGTTTGAGAACTACAGGTGTAATTTTTTTTACAATTAATTGTTTGCTTAAAATCCCAGAAACATAATTTCAAACTTAAAAAAAGGGGGGGAGAGATAAATAGGATATAAGTAATTGAAATGAATCTTATTTTATTACTAAGTGGAAATTTAGAATTGTAACCTATGAAGTAACTAGTACAAAGAAAAAGGGACACACAATATTAAACAATAATCTTTTTATATAACTATGTACATTTTTACAAAACAATGAAAGCTCATTCATAGATAAATATTTCACCTTTTTTAAAATGCTGTATACACACAATAAAAAGTAATTTAATAATTAAATAATGGGTTAAAATCTTTTAACTTTTACAGTACATTATTGAAAATAAATTTTTTTACATAAAGGAGAAAGTTTTTTTTTTTTTTTTTTTTTAAAGTAATTAAACATGAAGATGTGCTCTCAAGTCAGCTTTGAACGATGAATACTGAATTTAATAAAGCAATTTTTAAATATATTTAATTAAGTTTATGTAAAAAGCTTGAAGTTCTTTAAATTATGGTTCAGAACAGATTATGCTTCTAATGTTAACAAATAACGTATATTGCTATATTAAGAATACTTTAGGTAATTAAGATAAATTTAAATTAAGCATGATGAAATGGAAATCCAGTTAATAAATTATAACAATAAAATACCAATTAGGAAATTAAAGCAGTAATTGAACACTTTCTTAGAGAAAAAAAAATATGGACATGTAGGAATATGCTGCATTTTCAAAAACAGCCGGCTGCTTTTGGTCTTCTCAGCAAATTCCTCTAATGGCTCCACTTAAATTGAGATGAAACATTTGAAGATGTGATCTCAACGATGTTTGTTAGAGGCAGTTCTTCTTACCTTCTTCCAAACAAATGCTTTGCAAAGAAGACAAACCAGATTGTTGATGTTTACCTAGTGTAAAAAATAAAAAGGGAAAAATAAATTAAAGGGAAGGCCCCGAAGATCTCTCCTCAGCTAAATCCTCGGGATTTTCCTTGGCATGCTCCCTCTCGCCCTTCAAATAACAACATCCCTGCCATGCTGCCAGGTGTTTTAATTATGGCAGGAAAACTAAGCGGTTGAGAATGCAGCAGATTTCCTTTCCATCATTCCCATTTAATAAAGTTCATAATTTTAAGAAGTCACAAGAAAGTTCGCTGCAATATATAAATAATGAACCAAAAGGAGCTACAATAAACTTCATCCTATAATGAAAGAAAGGAAAACTTAATGATCAAAATCATGAAAATAATCTTAGTATTCCACTGATATCAACTTCTTTAAAATTTGTATATTATAAATGCTACCAAGCCATCCAAATAAATTGTAATTTCAGAATAAAAGTTCACTTAAAATATATATATGCCTAAGATGTCGTCATTTTTCATTTTGATGTAAACATTTTCGAGTTTCATCTTCAAGAGTCCTTTGTACCGTTCTTCATCCATTGAAACGTATATTTTGCTCTTCAAAACAAAATGTTGATAAATCAAATACTAGTGGTAAAATGAAAGTTCATTTAACACATATATATCATGTAGATACTTCTTACATCTTGCAATAAAAATATTTCAGGATTTAAATACTACACCGCTGAATCCATAATGAATAAGTAATTATCACTCACTAAACAGAATATATAAGTCCTATTACACTCTTCTTAAACCTTTTACTATACTTCTTTGCTTCCAGGGAATTTCAGGCACATCATAATGGAAGAACACTAATATAGCAGAGTGGATTCTTCAGCAAAGAAACATTTATTTTCAGTTCTATAACAATACAAGACTCATGAAATATTACAAAAGCAAAATTTTCTTAAATTCCTCAGACATCTAAAATTGGGCTTCTTCAGCTTGATATCTTTCTTCAAAATTCATAAATGCATGTATTTAATCCATTCTTCCAAAAAGGCATTTTCATCTCACCTTCTTTTGTACTATGGCATTTTGTGATAAAAGACTTTTTTTTTAAATCCGAAATTTCTTCCAGCATCTTTAAACAACATATATATAAATTTCTTTAATTTTTATTATTTGCTCAGATATATAACAAAACCTTTACATTTTCCTTTACAGCAAAATATTAATTTCCATAAAATTTCTACAACTTTGCTGACATTGCAAATGGGGAATTTGAAAAGTTATCTGCTACCTCAACCCTATCACCTGGCATGACACAGCAGGGATGATGTAGCTGGCACCTCATGACTGAGAAGGAACTTTTAGAAGTTTGCCAGAGGAACCATAGATTCTTTGCAGTTGATGATACCAGAGTCCACAAAAATTAGGTTGGCCTTTGTTAAAAATGCCATACACTCCTCTGTTGAAGGAAATGCTAAAGCACTTTGAATATGAGATACAGGTAAGTTTGGACGAAATCTATGAAAAACAGGACAATAATGGTTAAGAAACAAGAAAAACACTTCTGAAAATCACCACACAGGAATTTTGAAAAAGAATGAACAAATAGTTTTTTTAAATAAATAATTTTCTATTTTAATTAAAGATAAATGTACATCCCCTAAATTAACACAAAAAGAATACAACAAAACAAATTTGTAAATTATGATTAAAATGATATAAAGAAATATGAATTAATGAATTTGTTCTCTGGAATTTGATAAAATTAGTAATCAAAGATATATATTTAAAAATAATACATATAACTTCCAATTCTTTACACAATTTGCTGAAATCTGTAACGGAAACTAAAACATTACGCATTTAAAACAACAATTGCTCAATAATTCACACGTATAAAAATACGTTAAACTTAATTACTTAAATCTTCAAATAATAAAACGTGCAAATATCAGGGAAAAGTATAAAATTATTAAAAGTAATAACCCACAATGTAAAAAATATACTTAATACCGATAAAAATACTACTTACCTTGAAAATAATTTTATATATTAAAAGTATTAAAAAAATACGTACGATTTGATTATGGCTTTAAGAGCTGCTTTTCGTATCCTTTCAATAAACCAGTCAATAATAAAAGCTGACATCTTAGGAGCAGATATATAAAGCTTAAAAAATCTATGATAATTATTACTAGACCATGTTTTAGCAATTTTAATTGCATGAGATACCACCTCATCAGATTTATCATCTGGCTGAAGCTCAGCAAGTATGTTTTTCATTTCTGTAAGAGAGAAAGAACTTTTTAATTGAAAAAATAATAACAGCAAACCTAATATCAATTAACACAGTAATAAAAATAACCTAAATATAATACCTCAATTAACAATACAAACTTAGCATCTCTTTAAACATAAAAAGAATTACAATACACATTTATTTCATAATCTTACTCTTTATATTAACTATGAACAAAATAAAGACAATGTATACAAGCAAACCTAGATACTGTATTTTTTAAATACCCCTATCTAAATGATCAGCGCCATTTAGCCAATCAAAACTGTTTGCTTTATCTATGATTTCACTTTCAGATAAATTTCAAGACCTCATAAAAGGTTTCAGGTTATTTCCAATATAACAAAACAACGAGAATATTCGTAAAGGACACTTTGAGGTAAAGTGTCCACTGGCGAGCATTTGCGTTACACATGGGGAAAACTATGAAACCAACCATTCAGCTAGCTTATTTACCTGGCTTCGAAGCCAAACTATGTGAAATTACCAGTATGCATTGGCCTTAACAAATCAATTACTAATAAGGTGACATGAAAGACTAAACTATCCATATTTGGAATGTTTTTTATATTATAACAGTAATTCTCAGAATTTCATGCACTGAATATACAGACTTAACTTTTGCACATTTCAAATCTTTTCAATGATATATTTCCTAGTGAAACGACTACCAGTAACTGTGTAACTACTATAAGCAAAACTGATGCTACATTAAGACACAATAACATGCTAAACAAATACTAATCCAGAAATTAAACAACAAAAATCAGCGTTATATTTTCAAAATTTTCACAGGACTAGTTTTGATGGTTTTACCGAACCACCATCCTCAGCTGCAAAACCGCAAATGAAATCCTGCCAAAATCATTCAAAAAACATCTTCCATTGGAGAACTGGATTTTCTAGAGGCATTTCACATTCAAAAATGTCTTTCTGTTCTAGTTAACGATCCTAATTCCAATCCATCTTTGCCTTTGGCCTTTAAAAAAATTATGTTTTAGTTCTGGTTTCATCAACAGATGGCGCCACTTGTTTATTCTTGTCCAGGCTTTCTTATCTTATCTAATCATTATTTCCTATCTTGTTCATTTGTGGTTTTGCAGCTGAGGATGGTGGTTCAGTAAAACCATCGAAACTAGTTTTGTGAAAATTTTGAAAATATAACTGATTTTTGTTGTTTGATTTCTGAACTGATGCTACATCTCTGTCAATTCAAAAGTTAAGACCCCCTAATGCCAAATAATTAGCTCAATTGTGAATAAAAAGCAAAACTTCTCAATTACATAAAGTTAGGTTAAATTATTTGAATATGGCAAAGTACAGGAAGGCTAACAACCTCAGAGGAGGATTTTGTACGAAAAAGTGGTTCATATTTATAGTACAAACAAGGAAAGCTTTGGAATCCATGCAGCCTGTAAACTGGGGTTTAAATCTGGATTTAGCTACCAGTTAGGTTTGGTTTATTTAATTATGGCAAAGCATGTAAAGGCTACCTGCCGAAGGAGAGGGATGCCTTTGTGGGAGACTTCCTAAGGAAAACTAGCTCATATACAAGCCATGAAAATGCCCAGGCCAAAACTACAAGTGTTCAGCAACTTTACCACTCAGCTGCTGGCCACAACTGGACTACAGGCACGAAAAATTTCTTGGTGGAATATTTGTGGCCATATGTATATTTCCCATGAAATATCCAGAGCTACAATATACAAAACTCCTCTAGAGGGCATCCAGGAGTTAAATTTTTTGCACCATTAGAAGTTTATTCTAAATCTCTAATATTAGTTTTTCCAAAAATGATCAATTTTTTTTACAGTTTGCAAATAAATGTTATTTAAATCAAATAATTAAAGTAATTTAATTATTATTTATTAAATAATTTAATTATTATAAAATAATTTAATTATTATTTTTACAGTTATGCAATATTTTAAATAGTTATTTATAGTTTTACAGTTATGCAATATTTTAAAAATTTAACACAGGAAAATCCCCTTTCCCAGATTATATAATTTTGTTCTTTTCTAATTTAGACATTGATAGATTAATATCACTTCATTTAAAAGGCTTACAACCTGCTTTTTCATTATTGTGCTAAAATATACATTAAAATTATACAAGACCTAAAAATATAAAAATACTTTCAATGGTATTTCTGTATATGATAATATCAATAGCAAAATTCTGAGTAAAGGAAGATGCTAAACTGAGCATACAGAAGTCTAGTTTCTTTGCTGTAACCTTTTTGTCTGCACATGAATGACCCTCCCTTTTTTAATGTTTTAACATTTTTTGTCAATAACATATGGATAAGTTTGTGATGTTTTAGTTTCTAATTAACCCTACTAGACAGACAATTTTTTTTTTCCCCCCTGAGTGAGTATGGTGCAGCAGGAGTAGTACCCGAACTTCACATTTCATCAGATGAAGATATAGCACTCAATGCATGTATAAGATTTTCAGCAATATCTGACTAAAATCTAAGATTTCAATGAATTAGTAATATTTTCTGAAAAGGCAATCTATCTAACAGTTGAAAAAATAAAACACTGAAGTTAAAAAAAAAAAAAAAAAAAAAAAAAAAAAACTTGTTAGGCAACTTGAGAATTTTAAGAATGAATGAATAGTAAACCAGATACATCTACAGACTACTAATGCAAACTTAATAAAGCATTCAGGTTTTTTCTTTGCCACAGTTGTTTATTCACTTTCTGTGTTTATTATTTCTGCTGTGTTATCAGTAATACTACCAGACTCCTATATTGCCAGTATGGTGATAAAGGGTGGAATACCTAACTTTCATCAACTTTATATCTTTTTGGTAGTGATCCATTATTTATTTTTTTATTACTGCACTAGCAGCTTCGCTGCCAGCCTTCGTCTGGCTTTTAAATGTACCGGAAAAATGGCTGAAGGGAACACACCAAACGTTAAATTTAAAAACTGCATAGAATTTTACTCTGCAGAACAACTTCATAAAAAAGTTATTACATATAACAAAATTACAATGAAATAAGCAATATCCCTTAATACAAATATTAATTATCGTAATAAATTAACCAACCAACTTCCCTTTGCAAAATTTTAAGAATCAAACGTATAAAGGGTTAAGAACTTTGTTTTCCTAAAAAAATCACTCAAAACTTTTCAATATCTTAAAAAGTGAAATAGCAATAAATAACATAAAAGAATTTAAAAAAAAAAAAAAAAATTCTGAAAAGCAAAGTATAATTAATGATATTTTATCTTATATTTTCAAGAGAAAAAAATTACGGGCTACTTTGGTAGACGGTTGCACGGATTTTTGGCGATTTACATTGGTGCAGTTTTCATAGTCATCAGCCATCTTGAAAAATGCTGTTTCTACGTATTTTATGCATATAGTAAAGTATAATAGTGCTCGTAAGCTAATACACCCACAGCTATGAAATTTGGTACATAGGTGCAACTAGACAAGAGCCAATGCACCTCGAAGCGATTTTTTCGAAATTCGAATAAGAATTTTTTTTATTTTATGTTTTGTGACGAAATCGCGTAATTTTGAGACATAATGGGCTACAGGAAAGCGAGATTTTACTCTACGCACTCCATTTTCACATCATCATGAAATGTAGGCACTTAGCTATTTTATGAACTTAAAAAAAATTTCGTGTTTCAATAAATCTATTAAATACAAATTTATTTAACAAAGTGAGCTTAACACCTTTTCAACGGGATTTTTTCTAAAAACATTTTATTTTAAAAATGTACAGTTTTTTTTTTCTTTGATTTTTGGACACGTAAACTTTCATCCTTGCGACTGCTTATACAAAAGAATTTTGGGGAAAAATGATAATATTTTGTATTTTAAAAATATTTTTTAAATGAAGCTTCCGAGTACACTTCTCACATCTCACATCTTTACAAATGTGATTTTGGAAACAATTTTCCTTTCTTATTGTTGTTGATAGATTTTTTTGATGAAATCGCATCATTTTGAATCATTTTTAAATTTTCATTCTTTTAGAAATATGGGTTTGGCAACAATTTTTCATCGTATTTCTTATGTCACTGTTTTTAAGAGATTGGCATATTTTATTGTCCATTTTTTTATATATATATAATACATTTTTTATTGATTTTTTTAAACTTGTTCTGCAGAGTAAAATTTCTGCCGGATTTATTTGTTTTTTGAGTTTCTTTCATGTTATTTTTTACTTATTTCACTGCTTGTAAGATATTGAAAAGTTTCGCATGATTTTTTTTCTTCAACGGAAAGTTGGTTAATTTTTTTTATTAGGATAATTAATATTTGTATTAAGGAATATAGCTTATTTCATTGTAGTTTTTGGTGCTACTTTGGTAGACGGTTGCACGGATTTTGGCAATTTTTCTTTTGGCGAGTAATACGACTAATGGTAAACCCATTACTGGATAAGTTATTTATGGTAACCGATACTTTGTGTTCATTTTATTTAAAAAATAATGCGTTTTATTATGCATAAATTCCGTGTTTTAAATATCATTTATCGCTTCTAAATATTAAAAATCAAATTAATTTTGCATTTTTATTTGAAATAAAAATTTTGTTTTTATAATATTTTATATAATTTTATGTTCTGGATGATGTAATCAATGACATCCCCTTACTTAAAACGTAATTGGTTTTATTAATATCTATAAATTTAATCTGTTTTAAACATTATTTATAGTTGTTAAATATTAAAATACAATTTAATTTTGCATTTTTTTTAAAATGATTTTATTATGAATGATTATTTAAATAATTTTAATTCTATGCGTAATGTAATCAGCTAGCTCCCTTATTGGTTACTGAATATTTGTGCATTACCACGCCATTTTAAAATTTTATTATTCATCTTTTTGAATTCCTCAGATTTCAAATGGAATGGATATGTCCGTTTCAAAGATGAATGTTGTTATAGGTAATTACCAAGAATTATTGGTATCTGAATAAAAAAATTGCCCTCTGAGACCTTATTTTGGCCAACCTGGCTTTCCTAATCAAAGATTTATTTATAAATTGTTAATAGCATCAGAGGAACCTCGCTAATTGCTTCTCCAATAAAGTGCGAGAGATGTGGATCACAGATGAAGATTTTTTTTTTTTTTTTTTCCTGGTACTTATCAATATATGACAGGTAAAATACAGTAAGACCCCGCTTACGGGGATACGTTTCCATCAAAGTGAGTGTACGAAACAACAGCGCTAAACGAGGCTAGCTTTACATGTAAATATTGGGGTTAGGGAAGATGGCAGGAATTGGTTAGGTATTAAATTTAAAAAGCGTGTTTTTTTTTTAATAAAAATAAAACCAAACATTTATTTCTTAAAGCCCAATTAATATCACATTATTATTTCTTGCAAAAATAAAAACAAAATATAAATAAAAACGAATATTCTTTAAAAAAAAAAAAAAAAATTCTCAGTCAGTCATATTTTAGTTTAGCCTTCCGCGTTTTCAGCGTTCTGCCTTTTTGTGACAAAAGCATCTAATGTTGGTTTGCCTTTTTCTTTTGCGTTGTTCTCTTAAAAGTTCTTCATAAACAGATAGAGCATCTCAACACCACGCCTTACTTTTGAGCTCCTGTCTAATTCGGATCATTTTCAATGAATTGATCCATATTTCAGTTATGGTAGACAAACTCCTTTTTACAAACGCCATCTAAAGTTCTTTTTGCCTCTTCTGAATCACTGCTGTCAACATTTTTGTTTTCTTCTTGTTCAGTTAATTCCTTGAACTCATCATTAGAAAGACTAGCCACTGCTTCTTGAATTATTTCTTCGACATCTTCCACATTTACCCCTTCAAAATATGTCTGTACAATACCGCACCAAACAAGAAATACAAGTACACTCTTTCGGATATGTATTTGAAACCTATCGCTGCATAATATTTCGGGGAATCCCCGTATGCTGCAAGCGATTTCGTGGAATTCCCGGGTTGAAATAAAAGAGCGCTAAACCGAAACAGCGCTAAACGAAACAGCGTTAAGCGGGGTCTTACTGTACTTTAAAAAATGTAAGTTCATAATTTTCTTTTTCTTTATAATTGTATAATTCAACTTTTATTAAAAAATTAATACAATGTTTTCAAAAATTCCTGAGATATTTATTGCCACATATGTTTAACTGTTAAATAATTAGATCCTATAAAACTTATTTTAAAGTATTTAAGTAATATTTTAATTATTTTAAACGTTGGTATGATGTTTTTTATTTGATATTCAATTTAAGCAATATTTTAATCCAATTAAATGTTGGCGCAATGTTTTATATAGCGGTGTTTTTATTCTATTATATGAAAGTAATAATTTAATCTTACTTTAGCATTTTATACTCTTAGTAAATGTATTTATTTACATTGACAGCCATCTTAAAAACAACGTTTTCAAAAAAATTATCCCTTCTTTTTAAGGATATTTTTTTTTTAAAGTTTCTAATACTTTACTATATGCATAAAATACGTAAAAACAGCATTTTTCAATATGGCTCATGACTATAAAAACCGTGCCAACAATTGCGCCAATGTAAATCGCCAAAAATCCATGCAACTGTCTATCAAAGTAGCCCCTAATTTTTTTCTCTTGAAAATTTAAGATAAAATATCATTAATTATACTTTGCTTTTTCAGAATTTTTGTTTTTTTGTATTCTTTTATGTTATTTATTGCTCATTTCACTGTTTTTAAGATATTTCAAAAGTTGAGTGATTTTTTTTTTTACGAAACAAAGTTCTTAACCTCCTTATACCCATTTGACTTGTTAAGATTTTTGTAAAGGAAAGTTGGTTAATTTATTTATTAGGATAATTAATATTTGTACTAAGGGATATTGCTTATTTCATTGTAATTTCGTTATACGTAATAACTTTTTTTATAAAGTTGTTCTGCAGAGTAAAATTCTAAGCAGTTTTTAAATTTAACGTTTGGTGTTCCCTTCAGCCATTTTTCCGGTACATTTAAAAGCCAGACGAAGGCTGGCAGCAAAGCTGCTAGTTTTTTAATAAAAGTTGAATTATACAATTATAAAGTAAAAGAAAATTATGTACTTACATTCTTTTAAAGTATTTTACCTGTCGTATATTGATAAATACCAGAAAAGAAAAGAAAAGAAAAAAAGATCATCATCTGTGATCCACATCTCTCGCACTTCATTGGAGAAGCAATTACAGAGGTTTTCTCCAAAAATTTAAAATAAATTTCCTCTGACGCTATTAACAATTTATAAATAAATCTTTGATTAGGAAAGCCAGGTTGGCCAAAATAAGGTCTCAAAGTGCAATTTTTTTATTTCGGTAACAATAATTCTTGGTAATTACCAATAACAACATTCATCTTCGAAACGGACATATCCATTCCATTTGAAATCTTAGGAATTCGATGAAATATAAAATTTTAAAATGTTGCAGTAATGCTCAAATATTCATTAACCAATAAGGGAGCTGATTACATTACGCATAGAATTAAAATTATTTAAATAATCATTCATAATAAAATCATTTTTAAAACAAATGCAAAATTAAATTGTATTTTAATATTTAACAGCCATAATGTTTAAAACATTAGATTAAATTTATAGATATTAATAAAACCAATTACATTTTAAGTAAGGTGATGTCATTGATTACATCAATCCACAACATAAAATTATATAAAATATTATAAACAACAAATTTTTTTTATTTCAAAATAAAAATGCAAAATTAAATTGATTTTTAATATTTTAGAAGCGATAAATAATATTTAAAACACAGAATTTATGCATAATAAAATGCATTATTTTTTAAATAAAATGAACACAAAGTATCGGTTACCATAAAATAACTTATCCAGCAATGGGTTTACCATAAGTCGATTACTTACTCGCCAAAAGAAAAATTGCCAAAATCCGTGCAACCCGTCTACCAAAGTAGCACCAAAAACTACAATGAAAATAAGCTATATCCCTTAATACAATATTAATTATCCTAATAAAAAAATTAACTAACTTTTCCGTTGAAGAAAAAAATCATGCAAAACTTTTCAATATCTTACAAACAGTGAAATAAGCAAAAATAACATGAAGGAAACTCAAAAAACAACAAAATTTCCGTGCAGAATTTTAGCTCTCTGCAGAAGAACTTTATAAAAAAATCAATAAAAATGTATTATATATATAAAAAATAACAATGAAATATGCCAATCTCTTTAAAACATTAAAAAAACAGTGACATAAGAAAATACGATAAAAAATTGTTGCCAAACCCATATTTCTAAAAGAATGAAACTATTAAAAATGATGCAATTTCATCAAAAATCTATCAACAACAATAAGAAAGGAAAAGAAGAAATATCAAAGAAAAATAAACTGCACATTTTTAAAAATAAACTTTTTTAGAAAAAATCCCGTTGAAAAGGTTTTAAGCTCCCTTTGTTAAATAAATTCGTATTTAATAGATTTATTGAAACACGGAAGTTTTTTAAGTTCGCAAAATAGCTAACTGCCTACATTTCATGACGATGTGAAAATGGAGTGCATAGAGTAAAAACTCGCTTTCCTATAGCCCCTTATGTCTCAAAATTACACGATTTCGTCACAAAACATAAAATAAAAAAAATTCAAATTCGAATTTTGAAAAAATTGCTTCGAGGTGCACTGGCTCTTGTCTAGATGCGCCTATGTACCAAATTTCTTAGCCGTGGGTCTATTAGTTTACGCGCAGCGCGAACGAAAGACAAAGACAGGCACACACACAGACAGACAGACTCTTTGTTTTATTATATGTAGAGATAAATCACTCATCTATGGATTTTTCCTGTCACAGTGCAAATAAAATAAACTATAACAGACATTAAGTTCAGTTCTGATTGATATACTTGAGATGTCAATCAAGTTTTCTAATTGCAGTGAATGACTACTTAGACGATGTAAGTTAAAAGAGCACAGCAAGCGGAGCTGAACTAAAATTAGATTGATTATGGTCAACAAAAGAAGAGATTATTAAAATAAGAATGTGTAAAAATATTAATTGAAATATATTAATTGAATGTGTAAAAATATTAATTGACTATAATTTAAAAATATATATATTGCTACAATATTACACATTTTTGCACAGCCTAGGTGACATTTAATTCTTGTTTGTGGATTACGGCTTCCTTGGGAAAACAGAGCAGCAAGATGCTACCTACTTCACTGTTAGGTTTAGACAGAAAATTTGAGATGCTTTGTGTAGTGGGTTTGCTTCTCATTTTAACACCTATTTTCTATGGACTTTTAAAAAACATCACATCTTGAATTAGATTTTCTCTGGGTATGAAGAATGAGCCATTTCGCAAGCAGATTATAATAGCCTAATAACATATATAATAGCATAATAAACATATTATAATACCATAAGAATAACTTTTACATGCATTAATAATTCAATGTTATTATATGATTTGCATTACAGTGATATTTACATTACAGTGAAAGACTGAAGAAATATCATTGAAATATATCATAAATAGATCTGCAGTATCTCAGATATGCCTCTACATTAGTTCAGATAAATCATATAAGTAAAATAATAATACCTAATGTATTTTCAGTATAGATGGTGTATAAAATATGATATCCAGTAAATTCTAATCTGTTGCCTTCATCAACTTCTTGATACAAAGCTTTAAGCTGGGACTGACATTGATTGAACTCTGTATGATCACCCTTTAAAAATAAATGAAATTTCAATTTTAACAATTTCATTAAAAATTATACTTTATACAGTAAGCATTGCCTGTGCTGAGGGTAAATAATTTATGGTACCACTTTGACAACACAAATATTTGCTAATTACATGAGATCGATTTAAAAAAACGTACTTTTGAATCCCAAAGCATTACTATTATAATTACAGAGTATTAATGGCACAAAAAGAATAACAGTATAAATTCTGTAATTGATTTATCAAGCCAAAACAAATTAACTCTGAAATTACAACTATGCAAGTTTTATCTGGCAACAGCAAGAAATCTTCCAGTTAAGAAATTGCCAGCAGAGACACTGCTAATCAAAATGGCACCACCCATGCAGAAGAAAGCATACTGTGCTTTGTATTATGCCAAAACATTATTTATTGTTGTGGAAAAACATTTTTGCATGAAATTTGATAAAGAACCACTGTATTGTCACGACATCAAACAGTAAGTGAAGAAGTTTCAAGACACGGGCTGCTTTTGTAAGAAATCCAGCCTAGGATGAACAGCAGCCCAAACTGAAGTGGTTGAAAAATTTCATGAAACATTTTTACAGAGTCATACAAAAATATGGTGACATGAGTTAAGGATATGTCTACAATTCTGCTATACACCTTTCAAATAATGCAGGTGTTAATCCCTTCTGCAAACTGTTGCATAATGTTGTTGTTGTTCTGTGAGAATTTACAAGATAAGCTGCAGGTAAAGTTAATCGTCATAATTTACAATTTTGGGGCACAGAAAATCCACATGGTGTAATGGAAATCCAGTGTGAAAACGTTTTCGGTGTTATTTCCAACAGTTCCGTTTTTTGTCATTTTTATTCACATAAAAATCGATTAATGGGTACATTTACCAAGATATGCTATCAGTGTTTGTTCCCTCAGTTGGAGGAAGCGGTTCCCAGCTTCATTCTGCAGCGACAACGCTCCACCATATTGGCATAAAAACATACACTGGTACTTGAATGGTAGTTTACCACATCATTGGATTCGCCGTGCTAAGTCAAACAATATGCCATTGCTTTGTTAACCATCAAGATCTCCTTTCCTAACCCCTTGTGATTTTTCCCATGGGGTTTATTTTGTTAAAGTGTTCATGGCTCCATTTGCCCAGGACATGTATGTAGACTGTATGGGTCTTCTAACACGAGCCAAATCCAACAAAAGTTGTTTGTGGAAGAAGCACATCAAAGCAAATGGTTGCCTGTTGCTTCAGCATTACCAATCATGTGGCAATAGTGGTGTTAGATAAACGCAAGACGGTCAATTCCGAAAAAACTAGAAGAGGCAAATCATTCTACATCATGACAATGCGAGCTCTCACACACTGGCTTAAACAAAGAAATTTTTGGTAGGCCAAAACATTGATTTGATGGTTCATTCGATCTTTAAATACCCTACGCGTGTCATTTCATTTAGTAGCTCTAAAGGCACCGCGAACAACATGCAAACCACAAGGCCCAATATCTAATAGTCATTATTATTTCCTACATTTTCTTTCAGATCTCTGAGGAATTCAGAACTGATATTTGGTCCACCAAAGGATACTTGGAGAAATTTCTTTTTATGTAGTTCTGAGGTTCCCTCAACTTCTCAAAACACCAATAGCAACAACATCCCTAAAAAAAAAAACTGATATCAGGTATCTTGTGCTCACTGCTCATTTTCATTCCTCACAATATCCCAACATCTCACAATCCGTGGACAATACTATTTAAAGTTTCATCGAAGAATAATACGAATTTGGTGTTCTTAAGGTCAGAAAAGAGCATCTTTTTAAAGAATGCATCTAAACCAAATGACATTAAATATGACATTTTTGTACATCCCAAGGTCATAGCTTTATTGCGGTCAGCAAATATTCTCTGGAACAGAAAAGCAACAGCATTAAACACACTAAAAGAAGCATGAGAACAAACTAGTTTCAACAGCCCACAGTAACACTTTGTCCTTAGTTAGGAAGGAATTTAAATTTATGATCCAGCAACTGGCACCAAAGAGTGCTATGCTTCAGAACTTTTCCTACCTGGACAGAAATCTTTAAAAAATTTTCTGAGTTATCTTCATAGAAATAACTTTCTTACACTTAACACTGTTTATGTAGCTTGCAACTGCTTTCCTTCCCATGTTACTAAGCATGATAGTTTTTTTTTTTTTTTTTTTTGCTGCAACACGTTCATCTTGTCATGTTAGAAACTCCTTCAATAAGTTGTAGCCAGACTCCACTATGGACCGAGATTAGAATCTTTATCTGGTTTAAAAAATTTCTCTCCCCCCCCCAAGATGTTTTACAGTTAAGGGAAAGAAAGAGATATATTTAAGAATATTTCAAAACAAATTCAAGTATTTTATATTTATTTAGCACCATATATAAGTAAAAAATATGTGTACTAAATTTCGTGATTGTATATCATACAAATAGAATTACTTTCACAAGTATGCCACAGAAACCTGAAATGCGAAAGTGTTATTAACTAATAATAAATAAATTTAGAAGGAAGAAGCCATATTAAATGATATGAATAACACTAAAATAAAGTTATTTACTTAAATATTGAAAAAGATTGAAATACAATAATCAACAGTATTTTGGCAAATATAGATATATTAAATGGTCAGACTGTATGACTGATTATAATTTTTTTAAAGTGTTATTACAAAATGACAAATAAGGCATTTATTAAGAAGAAAAAAGGTTTAAAAGATTGTTTTGTACGAGAATAGGGGGGGTTGAAGAAAATGAGAAATTTCAAGGGGAAGAAGGATTGATTACTTATTTTTACTACATGAAGCATGTAAAAAAAGGAAGGGGACACTATTATATTTAACAAGTTTGTTTCTGAATTCAGCTGCGAGTTCTGTTGCATACGTTTCTTCAAATTAAAATTTTAAATGCAGATTATCTAACTGTTAAAACAACAAAAGGGGGGAGGAGGTAATGAAGTTCAGATCAAATAAATATTTTGCCATTTACCAAGCAAAGTATCACATTTTCTTGCATAATTTGGAAGTTAATTAATCATGATGTATCATGTGGCCAGCAATATTAGAAAGCTTAACAGTTCAATTTTATTTTTTAATAATGTACAATAATATGGTTCAAAAAGCAACAATAGATTTCTTATTATTTTAAGAATGATAGTATGTATGTAAACATCATTTAAAAAAATATTTAATAATGGATAAAATATTATCAAGTTTCACTTAAACAATTTTTAACTGAAGATGATAACAGAGAAACAAGCTCTCTAAACCAAGAGGCAGAGTTTGCTTTTGTTTAACATGCAGATTTCTCGTTCTTCACAAGAATATGCAAGCCATGCTCTCTGGATTCTGGAGGTTACTGGAAACTAAAGATGCTGAAAACTTGCTTTGCCTTGCTAAAAGACAATCTGACTGGTGCTCCAAAATTGGCTCTATGCCAGCTGCTGGAATGACTCTCGTGCAGCACATAATTCACCAAGAAAGTAATCCACTTCCAACATCGGCACCCTCTCATTTTTTCCCTGGGATAAATTTTCTGGCTTTTTCCAGATTTGGGGGAAAATATTTAAATTCCTTAACTTTTTTGGTCAATATTTACATTTCCTTACATTTTACAATTTTTTAAGATGGCGTGGTAACCCTGTAAAAAGTAGTTAAAAATTTCAAAGGGCCTATGCATACCTTTTCCAAAGCAATACGGGCATGTGTCTCATAGACCTGTACTGTAAAACTGTTCCGAATGCACTGAACCTAGAAATACATAAAACATTGACTGTATATTCAATAATTATACATGCTGGTCTGTAAGAAACATATAAATCTACAGTTTGATGCTACCACTTAAATGCATTTTTCACTGCATCAAAGGTAGAAAATTTAATTCACAACCAAAACAGCCTAATTTGACGTCTATATGATTAGAAAAAAATTTCAATACATGTTCTAGTTATAATATAATTATGAAATCTACAGGACAAACATGCTAGCTTAAAATTCAAAGATTCATTTTTGAAGGATTTTATTAAAAATTTAATGGTGTTTTTCCTCATTTTTCAGATATGTACTCATACATTCCCTCAATGTGAGATAAAAAGTCTGATTGACAATATGTAAAAGAACAAAAATACTTATATGCACCTCTCCAAGATATTTTAGAAAAGTGCAAGTAAATATGATCCCTTATACAAGTGGCAGCTGATTAATGCATTAATTATGGCTTGCAAGTCACTCTATTTCAAGCCATAATCTATAACTTAATCAAATTACTGCAGGAATAGAGAGACTGCCAGCATTCAAGTGAATTCCATTAATTTGACGTGGTTTAAATTTGCACACATGTCTGTAAAATAAATGATATCACATGAGATATACTTTTCTGTATATCAAAGTGATGGGAAGGAACAGATACAACAAAATTTAATATTTGTCAAACATAGAATGCAACTTGGATTTTCAATTATACACATTATTTTAACTATTTATTCAGTTTTTCAAGTTAACTTACCACCAGATCTTGCCTTATAGATTTTAACTGCTCGCAAACAAAATGATAATCTTGGTTTTCAACCCAGTGTTTTTTCACCATGGTTAATGACTTCATTAGCACTTCAACTGGACGAACACTTGCAGGATCAACAGCCTTTACAATGAAAATGAAATAATTAGAAATATAAAGAAAAATAATATAAAATTTTCAAATCCCTCTCCAACAGGGCAAAATATGAAAAGTTAAAACTAATACAATGAACTGAGCATTATCCATCTCATCTGCAAAAAAAAAAAAAAAAAAAAAAAAAAAAAAAAAAAAATTTAGAAAAATAAGAAACATACGCCTGTCAAACGTAAAAATGGTTTCTCCAAATCCAGACAAGTTCCTATAATAGCATCTGATCCCCATTCAATATCAGCACCCGATTCATCTATTACCTAAAAGAAGGAAAAAAGCTTCAGTAAAATAGACTATTCAGATATTGTTCATTTAATTACAAGACTATATGCATAAGATTATAATTATTATTAGCCCAAACTGGGCTACTGTCCTGAGTTGCAGTTTTATGTTGTTAAACTTTTTATTACAGTCTGCTGCCATTCGGAAAAGCGTAAGGCATTAAATACTTTTTTTATTTTTTAGTACCATTCAAAGACTTTCAAACGTGACAGAATGTTATTACCATAAAACAGCTTTAACATTTCATATATTTCTACTAATGAGCAAACAGCATTTAAGTACAAAACAAACACAGCTACATAAATGTCATTTTTCATTAACTGTCAACCACTAAATACTCAGAATATTTAGAGGTATCACAAATATTTGTTGGTACAGCTGAATAAAAATATTTCTCAACACAGAAGGGGTGGATTTGGCCCTTATTTAAATGAGAAATTATACTGCATCTGCTACATACACTACCTAACACTGAAAACGAAACACCAAAAATGAGTGGCCAGAAAGTGATAACTTGGATGAAAGTTTTTCTAATTATGCAGAAATTTTAAATCTTTTAATGCTAAATTAGTTCAGTTATAAACTTATGCAGGCTAAGAAAAAATTAATTTTAAATTACAAATCACTCATATGAATACCGACTACAGAACCGTATAATTCATGATACAGCATGGCAAGAAATAACTTGGATGAAGTCAATAAGGAAATATATATTTAACCACTAAAATTTTATCTTATATGTGTTAAGTATAAATTATTCTACATTTTTAAAACTCTGAAATTTATCTTTCAAAGAATAAACAATAATTCTGGATTTATATAAGCAAGGAAAGAGACAATGTAAAATTGTTCACTTATGCCAAAACAGACTGCCTTTTGGGAAAATTAAATGATTTCAAGAACTCAGACGCGATGTAGACAGATTGAATAATGAAAAGAAATGCACCACAAACATCCTACGAAACCAGAATATTATCAAATGAGAACTTTTAATGAGAAAAAAGATGCAGTTTTTCAACTGAAGCTACTGAGTTATGCATCAGTTGCAAAACTGCTCATGGTTGTAAATGGATGAGTATGGTTGCACTTATGGCTTACAAACTAGAAAATATTCAGAGTTTTGTATAAAAAACATACATGACTTCAAAGATACCAGTGCTAACAGTAGAAAATTTTTGACACATTGTAAACTCAAACACAACAGGATTTAGTCAAAAAAAGGACCCGACTTCTGTAATGTTGTCTTACAGCATTACAGAAGTGAGTTCAACAGTTCTGCAACTCGTCAATTTTTTTTTCTTTCAAGGCCAAAAAAATCCACAAATACCATAGAACTACATCCAATACATATTAATGGCCCATTTGGGAGAATATTTTGATTCTTTGATCATAAAAGCTCTTTAATAAAAAAAGGGGGAAAGAAAAAATAATTTAACAGCTTTTCTCTAATCCTATACTCCAAATTACTCAAGAATAATGCCACAAACACTTTTCAAACTTCCTTACAGCACAAATGGCCACGACATTTTCATTATCTAAGACCCAATATATTACTCCACATGGTTCATCTAAGTGGTAAGGAGCTGCATTAGCTCCACAAAAGTATACCATGCCTAAAACGTTCATTGCAGACTTATAACTCACAAACTTTTAACTATATGAAATGAGATCCTAACTGAAGATATTATTAAGTTGTTTTGTACTAAAACCCAAAGCAGAAACTTTCAATATTTGTAAATAGAAGAATTTTTTTTAAGAATTCCCCCCCCCAATCCTAAAAACTGGTTGAGATATTTTAATATGTATCAAAATTATAAACTACAATACATGCTAAGTTTGCCAACAAAAACTTTTTTACAAATCATATAAGCTATAAACTAATTCAGGAAAATGAAGTAAATATAAATCATCCAGACAGTTACATTTAATGCTGAATGTTAAGAAATCTTTAATTTCTGATTTAAAGCCATCAAAATTTTTCATAAACACATTTACAAACTTTATAAATTCCTTTCATTTATATTCTGTGCAATAATTTCCTCCCAACAAAATGGTACATTATGAAAAAAATAATCAAATTTTGAACTAACAATATAGTCTGTGAATTACTACAATTTAAATATAAGTACATATAAAGTAAAACACTACTTACAAATGGATTAGAAATAGTAAAAACAAGATCATTAGGCCTCCTTTTTGTTTTCACTTCAAAACGAGCTGCTCTTTTCAATAGACGTTCATCTGTTGTATATTCTGGATCAACAGTAAAAGACCTGAAAGGAGAAAAGTAGTTAAACATTTCTTTCAAAAACAACAAAACTTTTCCAATACAAACATATTTGAAGCAATCAAAACAAATAAGAAAAACATACATCTTATTTCCTTTCTTCTTTTTCTTTTTGTTTTTTGAAAAATTATTATTTCTAGAATTCCGAAGATCAGCTGGCCCAATTATACTAGAACTTAAAGTCCTTCGTGAGCCTCTACTATCATCACTAGAATCAGATGAACTAAAAAATAAACAAAAGATTAGCACCCCATAGGACTGAAAAAAAGAATGTCTAGATATTCAACACATTAAATACTAATTTGAAAATGTAATCAATATTCAAAATAAGAAAAACATCTAAAATTCATTTAAAGAGAAAAGAAGTAGTCAACGAGTTGAGTAGTAAGTATGCTAGTACTAAAAGAATAAATTAGCGCAAAGTGCTGCTAAATTTTAATTTTAAAGTATTGTTAGATCGAACTCATCAGCAATAAGACCCGAATTTTACCAAGTGAATTTATACATGAACTACATAAAAGGAAAAACCTAAGATACTAAGACATTGATATGTAAGAAGAAAATAAATAATTTGTTTTTTTTCCATATCACCTCCAGATAAAAATGGAAGCTTTACATACAAGTTACTATCTTTAAACAATTATATCAATTTTAATAATAAATACTTCAAGGATAAGTTAAAGGATAGCTGATAGGTGCAAGCTTCTCAACAGCTATGTAAAATCTTTTCCTTTTCACGCAAGAGTGCAACTTTCAAATTTCATTGAATAATCAACAGAAAATTTTTTTTTACAAATGTATGCAGGTATATAGATGACATTATTACCTTTAATAACTTTAATAAGATCGAACTAGCCCAGATCTATCCATCTCGCCTTAAGCTTAACAATACAAACACACAACAAAATGGCACTGTTAGTCTTATATTACACAAAAATTAAAATTTACAATAAAAGAATAGAATTCAAATTTCACACTCTTAAACTAACTAAACTGGACCTCTAACATTTCTAAAAGAGTTATAATTAACACAATAGATGCACAATTATGTAGAATTTGTAAGACAAAAGAATTCCTAGAAGAAAAGATACAATACTTTATTGAAATTCTACTAGAAAATCAAATACTAAGACAGGTTATTTATTACACATGCACTAAGAAAAGCTGGTATATACCTTAATCTTTGAATTAGTTGTAAAAGTGATATGATATCCTTTACTTAAACCTACAAATTTAATTGTACAGTTCTTTCCATAAATTAATTTGTATATATTACTTTTACATTAATTTATTGAATGTCTATCCTTTCTTATTAAAAAAGGAGCCATTCAACAGATGTTTTTGCAGCTCGAAAAACGTGAAGAATTAAGACTTTTACTAACAAATTATAAAATTTCCTTTTTTCTTACTTTCTAGCCAAATAGTAAGTTTGAACCCACCATTCTGAACTTCTTTTACATTTCTCTACAAAGTAGCCATTTTAGACACTTTCCTACTGATAAGGAGGGGTTGACCCCGACTGAGAGGAACCCACCTGTTTACAAGGACACATCAACTTGTAGCTTGCAAGCTTGTACCTTCGCTTAAAATGAACGTTTTTGCTTATGGCGAACTTTTTACACTACACTTTATTGCAAACCTTAATAGCATTAAATTTTCAAGTTTTATTCCTTGCAGCACTCGGAATAAGTAAGTTGATTTTTTCCCCTGTTTTCTGGCTTTTTTTAAATTTAATTTAATTTAAGCTTAGGCTCTCTCTCTTTTGTACTTTACAATTTTTCATTCAACCCTTGCATTTCATGTTCAGTAAGAACATCTTCATTTGAAATGACAAAATAATTTTTTACTCAGATCAGTCTTTACTCAAATATGTTTTTACTTTAGTAAGCTACCTCGTTCCAGTCGACTTTTCTTTAATCTGATGCTGCTTCTTCCAGATTGTAATTTAAATTTGTTACTATTTTGTTGACATTCTCTTACATAGGCTCTGACCATTAAATTTACTTTTTCTTTACAGTATTTTTTTCCATTTTTTGAGACACTCCTTTTTTAAGCTGTTTTACAGGACTGTCTCTTTTAATTCTTTAACAGAGGCTAATATTGAATTTTTCCATTTTAGTTTTTTGTATAGTAAAAACAAATCTTTGCATGAATCCACAGGTATTTTCTATTTGTATATTTTGAAGCATATATATATATTGTGTGTATTTGTATACATGTAAAATATTTCTATTTTTTTCTGTTAGAAAGCTACGACAAATAGGGAAAAGAGACTATTCAATGAGACTTATAATTCTGTTCATTATTTGACTAATAGATTAAGAATTGCATTTATAAGTCTCAGTGAAAGTCAGAATGAAATTTGTCTTGGCTCTCTTATTAATCGACCAAGTATGGAGCTTCAAAACCGTTTTCCTTGACAAGTTCTGTTATAAAGCCCCAAACAAGGGAGATTAATTTTTTGCACCATTTTATTCCTTGTTTTCTTACTTATTTCAAATGTATTAATTCACTTGGTAAAATTCGGGTCTTATTGCTGATGAGTTGGATCCAACAATACTTTTTAAACTTAAAATTCATTTAAAAGCATGAAGCAAGCAATTTTACCTGGAATGCCTTTTCCTTCTGACAACCTTCCGTGGAGGTGTTCTAGATCTTGATCTAGATCGAGAACGTGAATAAGATCTAGAATGAGACCTAGAAATGTTTCATATTAAAATTAAACTATCTCACATTACAAACTTTTTTAAAACATTCCAACAGAAAAAAAAAAAAAAGCTGCTTACCTTGATCTTGAACGGTATGAGTAGTTCCTGTTTCTATGCTGAAAATTAGCCTTGGAGTTAGAATTCATTTTTGAATGTTGATTTTTTACAGTGGAAGATGTATTTTGTTCTATTTCCATTCTTTCGCTGTGAATACTGAAATACAGAGAGAAATTTATTCCTTACCCATGCCAACAATAAAAATACATAATAAATAATCTATTACATACATGTATTTAAAATTCATATTTTGCTTAGCATTATTAGTGTCAGACAAAACTAGCATTTTAGTTTAGTACTATATAATAACTAGAGATTATATAGTAGAGCATAGACTAACAATGCTTATTTCGAATTTTTGAATATATTGTACATGTCAAATGCAAACAATAAGTATTATAATTAACAGTAAAAGTAACAATATAAAAAAAGTTCTGGAATTTTTATTTAAATATAAAATTATAATCAAGACAGTGTTTAACAATTAAAAACTGCTACAAAAGAGATCAACTTTTTTTTTATTATTAAATACATTAAATATAAAAAGAGTCTTAGATATCACATCCAACTAAACAGCTATCACAATTCTGAATAAAATATGCATATATTTTAAAACAAATGAATAAATTTAAACATTTTAAAGCAAAATTATCTTTCACTAAAAAATCCCAAACGTATTAGAAGATTTTAATTTAAATGCATTTCCAAATTAATTTTAAGTTGCAAATTATTTATGCAAATTGCAATAATTCTTTAAAAAATTTTGAAAAGCATTTTTCTTGCACACAATTTTGAAAATTAGGTTCAGTGATTATTAAAAATTAGTGAAAAATTCAGGATCTGATATTCAGAATTTTGTTCTATTTTTATTCTTTCACTGTGTGAATACTAAAATACAGGATGTAGAGAAAGCTTTCAGAAATTACAGCATGGAGTGTTTGGACAATAACAAAACACTCCTAGTAATCAGTAACACAAAAATCGCAATCTGTGGAGTACAAGTCACATAACACAGCAGCACTATAGTAGATGCAGTGCTGCTGTGCTATTGCAATGATATTTAAGCACAAACATTGCTCAAATCAGATGCAGATTTACAACAAACTGCAGATAAACTGAATGTCTCCCAAATTACCACTAGCATCGGAATATGAAAAAAAGAGATTTTTTTCCCAACTGCATCATTCACCTCAATGTTGCTCCATCATTGTCAATATATATATTCAACTAATCTCTCTCTTTTACTTTGGTGAATATGATAAAAATTATCGTATATAATAAAGTCATGCTAAAAGTTATTCAACCAGAATGGAAAAATATACAGCAGGTTGTTGAGGCACCTCTGCATGGAAGAAAGTATATTTTAGTTTAGAGAATAGTGAATAAAGGTGTTAAAAATGAATGACTAAATGCAGTGCTTCGAAACAGATTTTCAACTTGCATCCACAGCCTTATAACCTTATGTTCTCATCAACATTTCTCATAACCTAAAACCTGGGCAACTATTTTGATAAGCTTTTGCATTTATTTATAAAGTGAAAAACAAGAGGCAAAATGTTAAAATTTTCATATGTCTGAACTGAGGATAAGTTTAGAGCCTAAAGGGCTGACACTATAACTTGTAAAATCTGTTTCAAAGTACATTATTTATAATCAAGTTCTTAATTTCACAACACACACACACACATAAATGGTAAATTGTGGTGTAATGAGCTACCTTATTACACATCTTTCATATATATCCATCCTCAGAAAATAAATTTTCTTTTCTCCCCATAAAAGTTTTTACTTTAGATTTTAGAAAAGGAGATCACATTCTGGCTTTCAAGAATGACACAGAAAACATCTCAAAACTGAAATTCAAAGGTTTTAATCAAGGAGTATGTTGGTGAAACATATTCTCAAAAGTTAAAATTAGGAATGATTCTATATTAGTAACTTTTACTAAGGAAAGAAAAGAAATTATTCAACATTTACTTCACCTAAAAGGTAATAATATATTCCTTTTATCTAAAAGTTAAGAGAAAGTGAATGTGATTGCATATAAAGCACAAGAAACAGTAGAATGTTTAAGAGAAACTTATATTACATAAATTAATTTTAAAGAAAATTTTAAACTTAGCTACATAACAGTGGTTCTCAAATAGTACTGCATAAATTTCAAGGATTAATGAATCAGTTTCAAGGGAAAATTGGTAAATAATAACAGAACCAAATATGACAAGAATTTTCTAATGACATGGAGAATTTTTCGTTACTTGCCTGGCAAACACTTACCAGCATTGACAGCTATTACCTTAACTTTAAAAAAAAAAACCTATTTTTTTTATAACTTGCGCCTTTTAAACATGTATTAACTATCGGACATACAATTCACTTTTCTCTAACATGATAAATTAGAACTATTAGAATGAACATTCATAATGATGAGCCCCCTTTTTTTTTGTCTCTTTTCCATTTGTGGATTTGTATCATTATTATAAGATCTCAAGTATGGCTAATAATGTTTTGCAGCAGATAAAGTTTACAAAATATTTTTCTATAGAGTTACGTCAAGATTACAATGCACAAACCTGGTGTAGTAGCACAAATTCGGTGTGTCTGATAATTTATTAAACATTTATAACACCAATGTTCAAGTAAAAGATATTTTATTTTGCAGCAAGTTCTCAGATCAGCAATGGCACAAAATAGATTCAACACTGTTATATATTGTGAGAAGCTCATTAGCCTTTGCACTGAAAGAGCATGAGCACAGCTGTGTAGTTTTTCAGAACAAGTTATCTAACATACAAAATTGTCAACATGAGGCTAGTTTCTAGGATATGGGCAAACAAATAATATAAAAGTATATATAGTAATCTTCAGAAGCAAGGAAGACCATTATTACCATCAAATCATAAGAAAGTAATTTCTCATTATTTGTAATCTTCTCAGAAATCATCTTCCTTTTCCATATTATGGTAAGAGGATTTTCCTAAAAACTGGACAGGATTACTCAATCAAGAAAAGTACATGAGGGTTATTTTCTTCAGCTTTATCCTAAAGTTGGTCAAGCTTACAGGATTTAAATTCCAGCCTCTGTCAAACACAACTGTCCAGCATAATTTGAACATCCGATCTACATCTCATCTGGGATTTAAATCCCAGCCTCTACCAAACATAATTGCTCAGGAATTTGTTAATTTACATGAACCATCATAAGTTCCTTTCTGAAAGTATTTAATGATAAATTTTCAGAATAAGCAATGATTACATAAACTAACCTTCTTTAAGAATACCTTCCAGAATGTGCAACATAAACACATAACTATCTTAAGTGGTTCTTTGCAAAATCAAAGTTTTAAGATAAAAATTTACATTTCGAAAAAAAAAAAAAAAAAAAAAAATTTCTGCAAAAACCATTTTCATCCTTATTTCCTCATTCCTCCTTTTCACCAATATTAGCCTTGTGTGTCTGTTTTTAGTAACACTGTATAGTTTTGACTGAACATTATGGTGAACATTCTTTTCATATTATGCATGTGAAAAGCTTTCATTGCAGTAAGACTCTAGATGATTTCTTTTCAACAAAAGATACAGAATGAATTTAATTGTCCCATGATTAAATTTTCAAATTCAATGCATGAAATATCTCAGTTTATTCTAGATCTCCCATATATGAAGAGATTTTATTGAAAAGAACATAATGTTCTCAATGCGTATCAATGTCAGATAAATTTTTCATCAATGCTGCACCTGGCGAAATCTGAAGTTGAACCTACATAAGAAAACAACCCAATGCTGCATATAAAGCTATGATTGCATTCTTTTCTCTCTCTTACACTTTAAGAATTCATAATACAGCTTCAGAATCAAGACTGGAAGTTTTGTCTAGAAAAAACTAAATGGGTCTATGTCACCCTTTTAATTTTGAGTAAATGTTTGAAAATGTTCAATATTTTCTAAATAAAATTGTACTTTTTATTTTACTTTTAATTGATTAAAACAAATATTAATAAAGAGAGTAACTTCATGGCAGTAATTGGGTATTCATATGCTTTTTTTCATATCTAAAATATTTTTAATTACAGTTACATTTATTCAGTACATTACAAAACTGCCCCAATACTGGCTGTAGTTAATTTTTTTTTTTTTTTTTTTTTTTTAAATTTATAGCCAAATGTTTGAGAACTTCTGTTTTGTAGGAAAATAATTCTGCATACCTAGGCAATGGTTCCAAGTCCCAATCTTTAGTATATATTATGCCATCATTATATGCTCGGATTAACTTTCCTTTAAGAATTATTTCCACTTGGTCTTTATCAAAATCATTTTTACATTTTCTAAAGCATTCATTAACATAATTCCTGGGGAAAGGAGGAAAAAAGGTTAAATACATTTTGATGCAACAAAATGTTAGAAGCTTAATTAACAAAGTTTTTATAGTTAAAAGAAATTGAATGATGCCTACCAACTTTAGAAAATATCTATAGTTCACTGTAAAAATTTTAAACTTAAATATTATATAAATTTAAATAAATAGTAAAAATTATTTTTTTTTTTTTTTTTTTTAACTTTTCATGCATTTTCACTTATATTTGCTTATTTAAAGTTAATGCCAGTTCTCAAATTCAGCTTAGTACACAGAAGTCCAATTACCTATTCATAATTTGAATCTAAAGCTATTGTATGACTTTCCAAATTGTCTGTTTCAAATCAGACTTTTTAAGAATATCAACAGTGAATTAGAATTAACAACAGTCTGATACAAATTCAACTTGCAGCTATTATTATTCTCAATACAAGCCAGCAGAAAATGGCTTTAAGTTCTAAATGCCCAGTACTCTTTGAGTAACTGAAAACAATAAGGTCTAAACTTTTATTTCACAGCGTAACAGAATTTGCTTTATAAGCACAAGAAGATACAATAATTTTCTCCATCAGCTACAATTTATAAAAACAAAACTACCACAATCCCAGCTGCTTCAGAACTACTCAACAGTTCAAATCAATCTTATGTATCAGACCAATCTTTAACATTTATAAATACCTGATTATTACTAAATTTCTACGCTCATAATACTGATTTCGATTGAAGTACATTTCACTGAGACAGAGTGAATGAATCCAGAAATAAATTTTAGTGATTATTTTTAAAATTTTGTATGCATGACCATACATCTAGCAAATGACATTTACAACCACCCAATATTTATTTAATCTAGTTTCCCCAACTTTGAAATAAAAAATGAACTACAAAAATCAATTTTTAATGCATTCTGAATAAATCATAATCTCAAATGATGAGATACATGTTTATTGAGCATTTTTCAGAAATGCTGAGCATGGCTTAAGAATAACCAATAAATATTACACCCAAAAGAAGGGGCAAAAGGCAATAGAACTTTAAGTCTCAAATAATGACAAATAAAATAATTCAAAATGCATGAGAAATGAATGATAATTTTCAAAAGAAAAGTGAAAATGCATATTTGGAGGGAGAGGATGATGCACAAAGTTGGAAAGTGTGTACGTTTTAACAAATTACAATAATAATTATTTTTCCAATCTGAAACTTATGCATTATTCTTTTAAAAAAGCTGCATTTAAAATAATCTTTAACAGACTATCAAATAATTTTTTTAAAAAATATGTAATGAATTTTAGGAAATGGATGGTGAGAAGAAAAACAGAACACACAATAATTACTTCAGAGATGGTGGCCATGAGTCCTGTGCCATTGTAGACACACTACAAAAAATAGTAAACACAGAATTTAAATAATTATCAGGAAATATTAAATGTTATGTTAAATAATAACTGTTACGTTAAGAATTGCCATGTTAAATAACAATTTTCTTTAAAAAGGTAGGGAAAAATTCAATAAAGCTATTAGTAAAATTACAGTCGAGATCTTGAAAAGATACAGATTGTTGTAAACAGAAAGAATTTAAAATGTTAAGTATTCCCCCCTCCTTTTTTGAAATTAATAAAGATATACGTATTAAAAAAAGATGAAAAAATCTGAAAGCTTTCAGATTTTACATTACACCCAAAGGGACTTTTTTTTTTAAACTTTTTGTGTGTTACCTTTATTTATTAAACATCATGGTCTTGGCATTTAAACCATAAAATTCAATTCAACAGCAATATCACAAAATAATTTTTAAATGATCATATCTTTGGAATTTCTGATTCACAGTCTCATGAGCTGGAGATAAAAATATTTTTTCCCCATACAGTGTTGCCATTGCTCACTTTGAAATCGTCGAGTTTTTTAATAAAAAATTCGTTAAAGTGTTACAAAATATGAAATCGATAATAAAACAAATTCCAAATTAGGGCTTCTAGATGCCAATAATCAGTGGAAGAATTAAGTTTTACCAAATTTGGTGGCTCTAGGTATCATTGTTTTACCAGAATGCGAGAAAAATACATTTATGCAGATTCTTCATTATTTAATTTTTTTAATATAACACAGGGCAATAATATTTGGTGGCAACAATTTTAGTGAATCAACACAAAATGCCAAAATGAAATTAATAGCCCTTTTGGGCTAAAAAAATATGAATAGAAAAACAAACTTAAATTCACAATTAAAAATAATCATTTAACATTCATTAAATCTCATTTAATGTTTTTCTATCATAGACTATAGAAGTAAAAGTTTGTGTGAAACATTTCGTAAACTTTCAGGCAGTATGGATTTCTTGCTTCATGCAACTGGGAATAATTTGAAATATTAAATATCAACACTGAGGCTCTCATCTGTTTTTAAAATCCTTTGAAAAAGATATGACTAACAGTGCCACTTCAACAGGTTCTTCAACTGCATAAATTAAACAATTTGCTTGATATAAATACGAAAAATGTTCAAGCAATAATGAATTTTTTCCTTTACATTTCCAAATTACATTGTAACCTTACCAGAAAGGAATAAAAGATCCAAAATTTACCATAACGATATGGCAAAGTACTATTACAAGACAGCTGACATTATTATTTATCCGAAAATGATTCTAATCAGGTTAATAATGAAATAGATTTTTTCTATACTGATACCAATCCAGATGTTTACAATTATTCCAATGTTATTAAAAGTAGTAATTTAGAAGAAAGATTACAGCCTTCACAAATTGATCAGTTACAGAAATTACTAAATAAATATTTCTTAAGTTTTTCTACTCGACCAGGTATGACAAACTTGGTAGAATATGATATCAAACTGTTCAGTAATAAAGTGATAAGATCTAAAGTGTACTGCAAATCACGCCTAGAAAACGAGATTAAGGAAAGAAAAATTCAAAGGATGCTTGAATTAAAAATTACTGAAGTTGGGAAGTCTGATTACAAAAATAAAAAAAAAAAAAAAAGAGTTTCTTAAAAAAATTAATAGTTGTACCTGTGCATTTATTTTGAGAATTTAAATTTAAGCAGTTATGCAAACCATACAAAAAAGAAAAACAGCTTGATTTAAAACTTAGTCTCTATTAAGTTTTTGATCATTCAAAGTGTTACAGACTTGATTATCACAAACAATCAAGGTTCCACAATAATTATATCAACTAAGTGGGGACTGAGTATGCTGCATGACGCTTAATTAAAAACAGACTGAGATTTGGGGAGGATAAAAAATAAATTAAGAGTTAAGTGAAAATGATAAATGTTAATCAAAAGTTATTAACATTACAACAAGAAAAAAATGTCTCAGTTATAATAAGTTCAGGAAAAGTATGCATAAATCTTGCGGCTTAAGGTGGCAATTAATTAATTTACAAGATAAGGATAAAAAAATAGCATGCTTCTGATGCTAAAGCAAAGTTTAAAGTTTAAAGATATTAAACATTTAGCAGTATTAGCAATGAAAGCTCTCTGAGTTATGCTGTGCAGACATTGAAGACAATAAAAGATTTTGAACTTAACCAATTTATTAACAATATAATAAAAAAATAAAAACACATAAAAAAAATTTCAACACTATTAGAGTATTAGCCAAAACATAACATAATCATCATTCATCAAATATTTTTACCTGAACTCCAAAACACTGGCATTCTATACAAACAAATTTAAAAAAAAAAAAAAAAAAAAATGAAAAAGTCCTAAATAGTGACTATGCCGCCTAAAAAATAAAGCAGGCTACCCATTCCATAAGTTCATAATCAATGGTCAAGAGAACACTTGAAAAATTTAAATGTGAAACCACTTAAAACCGGCCTAACGCCGTTTGCATAAGGAATCGTTACAGCTCACGTATTTTTAATTCCACCCTCCTTGAAGAAACATGAACGCTGCCTACGGCAGTCACTCACAGGACAGCCCCCGGAACTGAAGAACTTCAATCTGGAACCATCATCTTGTAAACCGGAATCAAGACATCCTTTCACCGGACTGCAGGCATCCTTTGGAAGGGGCTGGAAACCGCTCACAAACCAGCCGGGAAACCAGGAACTAGAAGGCAGGTTGAGCCTTGATCCTCAGACTTATAAGAAGTATCAGCCTTGGGGGCTCCTACTAATATAATTCTCATCGAAGACTTCATGGTATAATCGTGAAAGCTTTAATAAAAGCTGTTTTGGCAATAATCAATGTCGAAATTCTGATGTTGTAGTCTTCATTTACAAAATAACTGTACATATTAAAAAATTTTCAGAAAAATATAAATTCACATAAAAATAAGCAGTAATAATTAAAAATAAAATACAAGTAGTAGAAAATTTCTGGATTAAATAAGGAGAAGATAAAATATAATACAAGTCCTATTTGATATTTAACTGTTCGGTTAGGACCGAACCTGCGATCTCGTTGGGCAAAATGATCCAAGGTCCGTACCACTCGGCTACGTCATCATCTGTTCAGTAAGCGCTAAAAGTGCTTATACGAATAGTTCCAGTGCCTGGAGGGCGAAATCTAGCTTCTCGTTTTCGTTGGAAACTTTGGTGAATTTGTGGTACAGGTCTTTTAATCTGAATATGAGGGATTTAAATTCGTCTAAATTTTTTACATCTGATATTTTGGTTTTTTCTATTTCTTTTTCTTTGGGTGCTGCAACATTCGCATAAGTTTTCTTATTGTTATTTTCTATGACAGGTTCTGTGAAGTTAGGAAAGTCATCTTTTTGAGGAATTTTTTACTGGGATGCTCCGGACAATCAATACTTGTAGCGACGTGAAAACCGCTACAAAGCAAGCATCTTGCAGGGATTTCTTTTTTATCTTTGATCGGACATTGAAAGGAAAGGTGATTTTCGAGACATCTTACGCAACGTGGTAGATTATGGCAAGCTCTCTGTGTGTGTCCGTAACGCTGACATCGAAAACACTGCACGGGACCCGGGTCTGGAGTTATATCCTACAATTCGAACTTTCATATCACAGATGTGAGTAATGTTAAATATTTCTTTTTCCTGTGGAGTTCTGGGCGTTTCGACGTAAAAAATCGGCAGCAATGTTGGTATTCCGTCACGCATTCTCTGTAATTGGTGAATTTTTAGAACTGTTATGCTATGCAATTTTAATTCTTCTTTTATTTCATCTATAGGTGTTTGTGCGGTTAAGCCTTTGATAACTGTTTTAAGATTCTTTTCTTTAGTTAAGAGAAAAGTATGGAACGGAATGGGTGCTTTTTCGAGATAGTCTTGAACCTTTCGGAAATCATCTTCATTAAAAAATTGAACTCTTATGTTATCTCCTTCGATTTTAGTTTCGAGTTTGCAGATTTTTAAATTTTCTTTTTTATGTTTGCGAATTTCAGGCAGGTTGAGCCAGTCGAGGCGCAAGCGAGAGATACTTATAGAAGTAGGAATGACGTACGGCAACCAACAGCTATCGGCACGAATCGGCTTTTCAGATGACGTAACATTGTTTTTCGTTTTTGCATTCTCATTAGGTTGAGAACAGTCCGTTTTCAATGCAAACAGTGGCAGCAAGAAAAAAAAGTAGAAGTAATTACTATGTTATATTAAAATAAGGACTAAACTAAATAAACATTTCAAGGAGGAGAGATGATGCAGTTAAAAAGGTTTAAAATAAGCTATATTTTCCAACAAATGCCCCCCACATCATCATCTCCGACCTGAAATAAAAACCGAATGCCAGTATCTTTACAAAAAATTCAAAACAAGAATAAATAAATATCACAATTTCATTCAGAAATTTTTAAGAAAATTTTTCCTTTGGGAAAATCTTATCCCATTATTCAAAAAAATTTTACCATAACAAGAAAGTCCAACATGTTACAAAACAATACAAAGACATATGTATGATCAGACACTCAATACATTTTACCCAGGGCCCTGGTCAATCATACAACATTCTACACTATACAGTTTTACATTTACCTAATATCTCATCATAATATGACTTATAACATATTATTTTTCAAATAAACAAAACTCTTAATTTAAAATTACAATACACAGAAAACAAATTTCATAAGAAAATTGTTCCACAAAATTTTATCAGGTTATGCTTAGTCAGCGGTTTTGTCAATGGGATCAGCCAGATTATCTTTACTTGGGACATATTTTAAATCAAAAATTTCCCTGTTCAATAGATCACGAATGAAAAATAGTTTCACATCTATATGTTTTGTCCTCGAGTTTTCAATGGGTGATTTTGTAAAACATATAGCAGCCATATTATCAGCAAACAATATTGGTCTCAAAACATAGTTACTTGCAATTTTAAACTGAATGCATTCATCCAAAATGTTTTTAAACCAAACTAATTCTTTTGCTGATTCAGTCATGG